CTCCCTCCTTCCCTCTGTCTGCCTCTCCAGCTGCCTTCTTCCATCAGCACCTTCCTGGTGAAGGGAGCAAAGGGAGGTCAGGCATGAGACAAGAAAGATGTGCCCTCATGGTTTTAGTTTACAAGCCCTGAGAGATCTGGGGGCTGCAATTATACCTTCCTTAAGAGAGCTTCTAGAAAAGAATAGGAAGGCCCAGCACTTCGGTCATCTTTGACCAGCTATGCTGGCCCAAGATTCTCATTGTTTAGCAGAGTCTTGATACTCCGTAAACAATCTGAATAAATGTGTCCTAGAACAATACCCAAAAGTTCCCCAAGAAGTTAACTAGAAAACTCTAACTACATGGACTACACCTTTTACAGGTTCTACCTGTTTGTCTGGAAACTAAGAACTTGAGAGCAAATACACAGTCACAATTGGAGGGGTTGTGACACACATGTGTGAGTCTGTTGTTTATGTGTCTTGTGATAAAGGCACCCTTCCTGCAGTTACCCCTCCAACTAAAGGGCAGGTACCATGGCCCATACATTTCTCATTTTGCCACCTGAAAGGCACTGCAGATATTCCAAATAGCTATGTATTATTCCAACGTGTGCCACCATTGTAGCATGAGAATAAGATAAGTAGCACAGTACTTAAAGAATGAAAACTTCTTTTACTATTGATATTTTGTAGTTTGGCCAAATAAAACTAAAAGAAATTGATCTAATTGCAGATTTTGTCTGAAACTTCAGGAAAGTGTTGAGGCTTTCTAAAGTTGTGCCTCAGGTTCACATAAAAACCACTACAAAATAAATATGCCAAACCATTTCAAGAAGCGCCTTACTCCATATAATCACAATAATTAATTCCCTGAAGATTATCTCCCAGAACAAGTTGCAACCTGATCATTTACTCTCCTAGTCACTAGAGGATGGAGGTTCATCTTCCCTCAGGCCCCATGTTCTCTAGGCTCTGTTTACCATATGGAGGTACTGGGTGACTTGCAGAATAAATCTCCCAGCAAAACCCAGAATGCTCACTAGATTCACCAGTTAGTGTCTACAATCTGGAAGCCAGATTACTGAGGTTGTAGCCCTGGAGTAAACTTTGACAAATAGTGATTTCTCTGGGTCCTTCTTTTCTCCTGCATGAAACAAAACTGCAGGGTCCCTTTTATACTGAAAATTCCATGACAAAAATAATGAGAATGTAATTATTTTGCTGCTTTCTTCCGTGTTGTTGTTTATTGTTGTTTGGTGGTCTCATGCAGAGCTATATGTGCAGAAAAAATAGTGCACGATTCTCTGGGATGAGAGGTGTTGCTTCTTTGAGATACTTTCCCACAGTATAATCTACCTTCTCTTTTATCTGCTTACTGGGAGGTGGGTCTCACTCATTCTTGGTACAATAAAAAGAAACAGAAAGATCATGTGCTTTGAAAGACTTTCTGGATCATTTCCCAATGATCATAGGACTTTGCAATCCATTTGGCAAAGGTGGTGCTGACAGTGGGGTGTTTGGCAAGGATATGGTGCTTGATGAAGTAGCAGGGGTTAAGAAAAATGCTCTTGGCAAAACATCCTGAAACAAGGATGGGAAGTTCAAAATGGAGAACTTGCATCCTTTGGTGAGATGACTCAGAATAACCTGGTCTTTAGAGAGGTGATTTAATAGGAATGAAAGAAAAGGATATTGACAGCAATAATTTTTCTGAGCACTGAGCTGAAAAATTGTCTAGTACTTTGTAGCAGTGTACTGAGACACCTTTAAACAGTATATAAGTTAAATAAAACTAGATAGGCACATATTTTGAAATGAATTGTTTAACTTAAAATTAGCCACTAAATATTAAAAAGAATCTAACTTTGTACCCCATACATCCCCTCCCAAATCATTTTATGACTGAATAAAGTCATGGGGCTGCAAGGTTATTTTTACTAAGTCAGCCCTATCCTACTTCTACCCCCAAAATAGCTACAAACGAATACAGAAGGACTAGAATAATGTCTAAATAAACTAGGTGTCAATCTGAGTACCAGTGTGCTGGATAGCTTTAGTGTCAACTTGACACACCTGGGTTGAGGGAGCCTCAGTTGGGGAATTGCCTCTATTGGACTGGCCTGTGGCCATGTCTGAGGGGCATCTTCTTGATGAGTGATGTGGGAGGGCCCAGCCCACTGTGGGTGGTGTCATACCTGGGCAGGTGGGCCTATGTAGCATAAGAAAGCAGGCTGAGCAGGGGCCAGGAGAGCAAGCCAGTAAGCAGCATTCCTCCATGGCCTGTGCTCCAGCTCCTGCCTCCAGGTTCCTGCCCTGAGTTCCTACCTTGGGCTCCCTGATGAATTACGACCTGGGAGATATAAGCTGAATAAACCCTTTCCTCCCCAAGTTGGTAGTGGTCAGAGCATTTTGTCACAGCAATGAAGAAACAAACTAGGACAACCAGTGCTCAAAAATAGTTGTTAAAATTGCTTTGATAGTAGTGGTCATCAGATTTCATAGACACCAAAGCCACATCACTTGGCCAGGTGTGTGTGTGTGTGTGTGTGTGTGTACTTTGGATTTTTTTTTTGTTTGTTTTTTTGACTTTTTTTTTTTTGGTTTGTTTTTGCTACCAGTGCTAGCAACTACAACACTTTGAGGATTATTAATGGCACACCAAGGAACTTTCTTGCACCTACCTGGGGTGGGAAGAATAGAACTAGTGGCTGAATGCTCTGGACAGGTCTCTGAAGAGGGGAGGAGAGTTAATAGCATCACATTACTAACTCTTTGCAAACTAGAAACATTTCGAAGTAATAATTGGCTAGGCATGGTGGCACACACTTTTGATCTGAGCACTTGGGAGGCAGAGGCAGGCAAATCTCTGTGCAATTGAGACTAGCCTGGTTTACACAGTGAGTTCCAGGTCAGCTATGACTACAGGGAGACCCTGTTTCAAAAAAAAGGTAATAATTGCTGTGTTACTTCTGAGGTGTTTAGAATCCTCAATAATAGTCTCACCTCAAACCAAAACAATAATAAAAAGAGAAATAAGACTTCGAAGTTTGGGTTTGGAATGTTTTCCAGGAATGTTAATCAGTCAAACTAGAAAATTCTACCAATTCTAAAATGCCACAGAACTAAATGTGTTCTTGTCATAAAGTCATGTAACTGGGTACTTAAAGTATGCTAGTTTTTCTATTTCTTTTTTTTTGGAGGGGGGGCTTTTTTTGACTTTTTGAGACAGGGTCTCCCTGTAGGCCCAGCTGTCCTGGAACTCACTATGTAGACCAGGGTGGCCTTGAACTCACAGAGATCTGCCTGCCTCTGCCTCCCAAGTTCTGGGACTACAGGTGTGCGCTACCATGCCCAGCTTCTATTTCTATTTTTTAAGACATCCGCTCTACTCAGTAGACATGTATGCATAAAGTAAATCAAACTAGTATTTGTAATTCATTAGCAACTTTGCTTATTTATAAGTTGACAAGTATTTATCTTTCCCTGTGGTGACATATAAATGACAAACTATCTTATAGCAAAGTCTAGACTTATTTGAGAGGTTAGACAGAGGAAGCAACTAGTTCTCATCCTTAAAGAGTCTTCTTATTTATGTGTTAAATATGGCTAAGCGTTCTTTGGAAATCAGATAAGCCAGCCTTATTGATTTGAGGGTACTTTTGAAGATAACTTTTTAAAATTTATTTACTTTTATTTAATGAGTATGCGTGTTATGCCTGCATGTATGTAAGTACACCTATGTTGTGCAGTGCCCATGGAAGACAGAAGAGGGCATAGGATTCCCCTGGAACTGGAGTTACAGACAGTTGTTAGCTACCATGTGGGTGCTGGGATTCTAACCTGGGTCTTCTGCAAGAATGGCCAGTGCTCTTAACCCTGAGCCATCTCTCCAGCACCCTGTTGAAGATATTTTTAAAAGAAGAAAATACCTCTTTTAAAAATGTACTCTTGGGGCTGGAGAGATGGCTCAGCAGTTAAGAGCACTGGCTGTTCTCCCAAAGGACCTGGGTTGAGTTTCCAGCACCCACATGGCAGCTAACAACTGTCTGTAACTCCAGTTCCAGGAGATCTGATGCCCTCTTCTGACCTCTGTGAGCATTGCACAACATACTTACATGCAGGCAATATACTCATACACATAAAAAATAAAAATTAATAATAAAATTTTTTTTCTAAATGTACCCAGCCTGGTGAGGTGGTGCATGCCTTTAATCCCAACTCTTGGGAAGCAAAGGCAGGTGGAGCTCTGTAAAATGAAGGCCAGTCTAGTCTACAAAGAGAGTTCCAGGGACTCCAGAGAGACCCTGTTTCAAATTTTTTTTAAAAAAAAAAAAAAAAAAAAAAAAAAAAAAAAAAAAAAGGAAAAAAAAGATACCCAAAGACTGGGTTGTGGTTCAGTGGTAGAGCACTTGTCTAGCATACATGGGGCCCTAGGTTCAGTCGCCAGCACTGGGATGGGAGAGGGAGCAAGTTTTATCAGACACAGTGGTGTATGCCTATAATCCCAACTCAGGAAGCAGAGGCAGCAGGATCACAAGTTCAAGGCCAGCTGGGGCTAAGCAGTAAGTTCCAGACCAGCCTGAGCTGTGTAGTAAGTAGACCTTATCTAAATAAAACAATGTAACCATTAATATGTATATTTTAATGTTATGTCAATTAAATTTTTTACTTTTAAAATTGGTTGGGTTTTTTTTTTTTTTTTTTTTGGTCTTTTTTGAGCCAGGGTCTCCCAGTAGGGCCAGCTGGCCTGGAACTCACAGAGATCCACCTGCCTCTGCCTCCTGAGTGCTGGGATTAAAGGCGTGCACCACCATGCCCAACCAAAATTGGTTAAGTTTTAATTTTTTAAAAAAATGTAGCCAGGTATGGTGATGCACACCTATAATCCCAGGACTTGAGGGGCAGAGACAGGAAGATCACCAAAAGTTCAAAGCCATCACAGTCTATATATTGAGTTCTGAACCAGCCAGGACTATATAGTGAGACCCTATCACTAAAAAACAAAATCAAAACAAAATAACAAATAAAAAAATAAGTTTATTTCTTGAGAGATATAATTACAAAAAAATAAAAACTCAGTCACTCCTCAAAAAAATATTTAGAATTTAGATCTTAGACCTCAAACCTTTTAGGTTCATTAGAGATACCTTGGTTCACGTCACTTTATGAGTTCTCGAAATCTTAGAAAAGTGGAAAAACTTCCTGAGGGTCACAGAGATACTTAGGAATAGAACCAAGACTAGAAAACAAGTCCCCTAAACCACAACTGTAGCCTGTGTTATACATCCCCTGTCATTTCATACGCAAACTCAGATATTTTTATATGAATGGTCAAACCCTTTTCTCTTCTTGCAGTGTTGAGAGTTGAATCCGGGGCCTCCCAAATGCTAGGCAAGCACTTTACCACTGTGTACACTTTAGCACTGTACCCCTGTTACATGGTTAACAATCACAGTTATTTTGATAAAAACCTCACCCATAGTTGCAAATCTTTCATACTTACTTTAAAAGAGTGTGATTAACTTTCTAGTTTTAACCCTTTAATACAGAGAAGTCTATTACATTTATCTAGCACTATATGTAAGCAACTGCCCATATGATTATAAATTAATATACATCTCTCTCTTTTGAGATAAGTGAAACATATTCTTACAATAAGAGTAATGATTTTATTATTTGAACATGAATCAGTTTGGTCTGAGGACACAGAAGCATCTGGCCAACGCAAAAGTAGCTGAAGTGATAAAAGGGTGTTTGTAGTCACATACATTTGCTCCCACATGACCTATAGTATCAGTTCACTAAGTACTGGGAGCCCTGAGTGGACACCTCAGACTGTCAGGATAGTGGCATCTTGCAAAGTTTTTAAAGGCAGAGAATGTAGAGCAGTCTTGGTGTTAGGAGGCAGAAAATTGCAGAAAAGGTTTTCTAGGGCCTCAGAGCCCCTCAGTAGATACTGGGAAACAGCCTTGAGTGCCACCAACCAGCTTCAGCTAGAAGAATGCTGTCAGACCAGAGCCTCATTGATCTCACAAGGGTACCACCTGAAGAGTGGGCAGAGGCCCCCGGGGAGGGGCCACATACTCTTCCTCCCGGAGCAGCCGCAACAGGATGTTTTTCTTATTCTTGGGCCAGCTATAAACATGAGTATTCTGAAGCCAAGTGGGCACATGCTCCTGTGGGAGAGAGGAGGGCAAGAGCAAAGGTCAGTGGAGAAAGGGCTGGATTCCAGATCACGGGTTCAGTTCCCAAACAGCTCTGGCTCGCCCTTCATAGGCGTCTCCTCCAAGCTGTACAGGGAGCTGTGCTGTTTTGCTTTTGGAGGGTTTAACGTGAAGTGCTCTTGGCTTCGGGTGCAAACTGTAGATCTCATTATGAAAACCACATGTGCACAGCATTTTCTGTCAGTCTCCCAGGCTACCTGCCCTTTGTGTGTCAACATGATTTTCACCACCTTCACATGAAAGGGGTAGGACAGAGGTCACACCAGGCGATGTGAATTCCTCTGTGACTCCAGCCAGGGAAAGGATGCCAAGGCTGTGAGCTTAATCTAATTCATTATTCCTCTGCTCCAACCTCAGATCTGGCCTGTGGTGGAAGAAGCAGATCGGATCTCAGTTATCAGGCAAAGGCAGACACTGTAAGACTGGGGCCCCACAGGTGCAATCCAAGCAGATAGATAGAAGAGCCAGTGTGAAGGACCTATGGTGGAGGTGTGTCAGGCCTATTTGAAAGGAAACAAGGCTACGGTGGGTAGAATAGAGTAAGAATGAGTAGGTGAAGAGGGCCAGAATTAGAGGAGGCTCTATCAGGTAGAGTCTGGAAACCACTGTAAGGCCTTTAGATTACCCTTTGAGATGAGCTTCTTTGAGAATTGTAGGATGAGCTCAGAACTAGCACTTCATCAGTAAGACAACATTCTGACTGCAGAAGATACCTAATGAAAAAGATACACTAACTGCCTTGAGGAGTTGAAATCTTATATGGGGGCAAAATGTGCATAAACTGTTTTCTAGGTAGTAGTATACCAGTGGTCCGTCCCAAGCTCTGGCAGTAAGGGGACTGTTGAAGGGGATTTAAAAACAATAATAAAACCAATTAGAAATGTGTCTATTTTATATCAACATGCTGCACTGACTCTAAGCAATTATTACCAGTACACCCAACCACATACCATTGATTGAAAGTACTACAATTAAGTGCTCTCAAGAGATGGACAGTAGAGCCGGAGAGGCTAAAAGCACTGGCTGCAGAGGACCCAGGTTCAGTTCCCAGCACCCACATGACAGCTAATAACTCCAGTTCCAGAGCATCTGATGCCCATTTCTGGTGTCTTTGGGCATGCACACATGTGATGCAATTACATACATGCAAGCAAAACATTCATACAAAAAAATAATAATCAAAAACTTTTTTTTTAAATAAGAGGAACAATGAACTGTATTGGCATGAGAGGGAAGAGAAGCTTCGCTGGAGGGTAGAGAGGTTGAGTGATAAAAGGATGAGTAAGAGGTCACTAGGCCAACAAGTTAGAGAAGGGCAGAGACATGAAAGAACATGGTGTAAGTGAGAGTATGCTAACATGACCCATTATGACACCAGGGCACCGGAAGGTAAGAAAGGAGACTGAGCAAGTGGGCACAGTCCTTTTCCAAAGGGCTTCATATGTCAGGCTAGGAAGGTGGCTGATAGCTTGTTCAGTGAGAAATGCCACCAGATTTTAATCTGGAGAGAGATAGATTGGATTTCTTTGATAACAAAGCAGGAGATGACCAGTATGGGGTCACAGTGGAGGTGGAAAGGCCAGTAAAGAGACTTAGTGGTCAATGACAGCATTTAGTCCCTTGGCAAGGAAAATCCAGGGAGGATGAGGAGTACTTTCATACAGTTGTGCAATATGCAACTCTATATGTCTCATGCACATAAACTTGCCTCTCTCTAATGTAAGGCAGAGGTTTCAGTGCAGTCCTAACATCTAGGGATCCTTTAGAATGAGCCTGGGTCTGAGCGTAGTATGCTGTGGTCTGAGTCTCACGGTCTTTGCTTTACTGTTGTCTGCCCATTGTCAGTCATGGAACATGTCCTCTGATGGCTTGGCCTGCATTCTTTAATCCTGTCAGCATAGCGTTTGGATATAAAGCCCCGCATGTGAACCCCAGCAGGTTCACATAGGGAGATGTGTAGTTTTAATACCTACAGTCAACAAAATACTTACTTGGTGTAACAGGAAGCAAAAAAAAAAAAAGTCCACACATCGACTCTTATATGTAAGAAATATGAACCATCAGATCTGCAGTCTCTTTTTCTCTCAAAAGTTAATACAAATCATTTGTTTGTGTGCAATGCCAGCTGTGATCCTACCAGATAATACCTTTAAATTTCTCTGATTCATGCTGCTGATGTGAGTGGTACAACTTGTTGATCGTTTTAGTAACACTAATTTCTGAGGACTAACAAAGAATTGACAAGGTTTTCCACCTAAAATCCCAGGTGGAAATCAAACCAGAGATTTTGAGGGTTTTTTTGTTTGTCTGTTTGTTTACCTTCTTGGCATTTGGGAAGAGCACAGGGATGAATCTGAAATTCATACTTCCTTGTTTTATGAACTCGATCTGCATCTAAAACCAAACAAATTATGAAAGTTCAATTCAAGAATGAAGATGAGTTTATACTGCCCACAATACTTCCTGCCCACATGGCAGTTTTATCCTGGGTTGTTATTTGAATGCCGTATACTTATAATTTTAAGCTCTCTCCCATTACAAATTATGCTGCTCACTCTTGTATTAACCATGTATTGATGGCCTATTAAAAGTCACATTCTGGACCTCCCTCTGCTTCCCTGGGTTGCACGGCCTGCAGCCTCTTTCCTGGACGCCTGGGATGACCTCTTGGCCAGGGGCCACGACTGCTTCCTGATCCTTTGCATCCAGACAAACCCAGCTCCTTCTCCAGGTCTCAGGGAGCCCTCTGGGCCTGGTGCTGCCCTCACCTCCCTCTGCTTCCCTGGGCCTGAATGACCAGCCTGCCACTCGGGCTTCTATTCCTGGGTAAGATGATCATGCACTCTGCACCTTGACTCCCCCAGCCTCATTCACCCTCCCAACTCACCCACCCCTCTGTCCTCCTAGCCCGGGGCCTGTCCCATTCCTTGACTTGGAGCCCCAGACACAGGGGAACCACCACTGCTTCCTGATCCCTTGCATCCAGACGGACCCAGTTCCTTCCCAAGGTCCCCAGGAGCCCTCTGGGCCAGGTCCCGCCCCTCACCTCCCTCTGCTTCCCTGGGCTGCACAACCCGCCATCCTCTTTCCTGGACACCAGGGCTGACCTTTCAGCTTCCTGATCCTTTCCATTCAGACCAACCCATTTCCTCAGTGCAGTCCCCAGGAGTCCTTGGGGCCTCTTCTCGCCCCCATCTCCCTTTGTATCTCTGGATGGCACAGCCACCAGCTGCCCTAGGCCAGGACTTTTCCTAGGCCGGGCACCCAGGCCAGTCCAACCCCCGTAATCCTGAGGCCAAAATCCTTCCTGGAGGGGATTCAGACCATAGTAGAAAGCCTGAGAGCATCTGATCCTGACCTGACTTGGGCTTCTGTGGGAACTCCTGAAGACAAAAGCAATCTGGACACTCCAATGTAAACTCAAAAGAGAGAACTGGAAGCTTAGAGGAACCAGCTTTTCATGCCCAAAAATTAAACCACAAAGGCACATAAAGTCTACAAAAAGAAGCAAACCTAAACTTGAAGGCTTGAGTCTCACACAAGAATCAGAAACTACAGAAGAAATTCACATGTCACAATCACAGAGAAAAAATAATAACATGAAAAACCAAAATAACATATTCCCACCAAATACCAAAGTAGAATGAGAACCCCCTAGAGATAATGCAGGACATGGAACTCAAAAGAACAATTATAAACATGATAAAAGATTTCAGTGAATTTAAAGAACACACAAAGAAATCAAATAGCTGAAGGAAGATAGGGATAAACTTGTGAATGAATTCAGGAAAGAGCTAGAAATATTGAAGACTACTCAGGGTGAAATGAAGAAGGAAGTGAAACACTCAGTAAGACAATTAGAAATGACAGGAGAAAGCCTCACCAACAGGATGAATGAAATGGAAAACAGAAAATCAAGACTGGAAGATACAGCAGACGAACTAGACCACTCAAGCAAAGATTATGAAAAATTTAAGAACGCACAAGAATGGAATATGCAGGAATTGTGTGACACCATAAAAAGACCAAACTTATGGATCATAGGCATACAGGAAGAAGAATCCCAAGATAATGGCATGGACCAGATCTTCAACAGAATCGTGGAAGAAAATTTTCCCAAATTAAAGAAAGACATGCCCATACAAATACAAGAAGCATAAAGAACACCACACAGACAGGACCAGAAAAGAAATAGTCCACAGGACATCATACTACAAACACTAAATGTACAGAACAAAGAGAAAATACTGAAAGCTGCAAAAGAGAAACAACAAGTCACCTATAAAGGAAAACCCATTAGGATTGCAGCTGACTTTTCAGTGCAAACTAAGAAAGCCAGAAGAACCTGGACCAAAGTATTCCCAGTTTTAAATGACCACAGATGCCAACCCAGACTACTATACCCAGCCAAAATGTCTATTATAGTTGAAGGGGAAAGAAAAATCTTCCATGACATAAATAGGCTGAAGGAATTCATGTCCACAAAACCAGCCCTTCAGAGAGTTCTGGAAGCAATACAAAGAGCTGAAGAAAGGAATGACTATACCCAAGGGGTTGTGGAAAGAAATTCAATGAAGGTATAACTGTGGAAAAGTACAGCTATATCAAGAATGTAAACAGAAATAAAAATGACAGGATTCAAAATTCATCTTTCATTAATAACTTTAAATATTAATGGACTGAACTCCCCAGTCAAAAGACACAGACTAAGTGAATGGATTAAGAAACAAAACCCATCTTTTTGTTGTCTGCAAGAAACTCATCTCACTTTCAAGGACAGGTACTATCTTAAGGTGAAAGGATGGAAAAAAATATACTAAGCGAATGGTACTAAGAAAAAAGCAGTCATTGCAATTCTAATATCTGACAATGTAGACTTTAAACTAAAACTAATCAGAAGAGATAAAGAGAGCCACTTCATTCTGATCAAAGGAACAATAAGCC